TGATCTGACATTCAAGAAACAGCCACAAAGAGATGCAAGGTTAACTTTCTGTGAGAAACGACCAATCAGAGGACTGTTTTTCTCTGCTAACAATAATCTATTATATGTACATAAAAATCTATAAATATGTGTTGATTTCGTGAATAAATGATCTGTTGTCTGACCTTTATCTTCTGTCGTTACACTACTAGCCAATGAACGCTACAACTTGGCGTGCCCAGCACATCCCAATCATTCCAAGGGATAAAGATTCACCACAATCTCACTGACTGATTTACTTATCTTATCTGGCAAGCACTCTAATGTTGACATAATTCACCCTACTCTAAGTCTAATGTGAACAAATGATCAAAGTCAAAATCCAGAAGACTTCCTGTTTATTCTGCTTTCAGTGTCTGCTGAGCAGTAGACAAGTCTAACCAATGTAACTGTATACATCCCCCCCCTACACAAAGATGAGGCAAGCAGGCAAATGCTACATAACGTTTTATATCAGTAATGATATTTCGTTGAACACTATTCCAGTGGGGTCAGTGCGACACTGAGAACAACTGAAGTAGTCCTCAGATTAAGCAAGTTCACTCCTAATTCGTAAACTAGAAAATAAAGCAGGCCAATTGTGCAATCTCATCTTATATTTGAAAGCGACAAATAGTATGCCAAATACACTCAAGTTTATTTTTTCCAGTAATTCCAGATATCTGCATTTTATCAGCATCTTCATACGAAAACACTAAATTATCTGTGTACTGACGATTAAACAGCAGCGATAGTTTTTTTGGTTAAGGTAACTTCTACAAAGTTACTTATCCATCAATACTGTTAACTGAATGATTACTAACTAGGGAATGAAACTAACAACTTAGGTTGAGAAAAGTGAAACATCCTCATTTTACAACAAATTATGGAATGGATTTTCAATACAAACATGTCAAGTCAGTTCTCTTATACGGATCAGAAACTTCGCGGGCGGGTCGCAAAGAATATCTCCAACAGACTGGCTATTGCAGATCTCCATCAACAACTGTCTTCGCTCTGCACTGAAGATCAGATGGCCGGGCCGGAAAGAATCACCAACAAGAAACTATGGGAACAAACGAAACAAGAACCAATCGCCAACCAACAAGTATGCAGGATAAAGTGGAGATGGATTGGACACTGGCTGAGTAGGCCGCTGGGTAACATCGCGAGCGCGTCAGGCCATTGCTCGAGTGGAACCAGGTCGAAAGGGAACCGGCGAGTGGGTCATCAGTGCGAGGGTGACATGGAGGAGATCGTGTGAAGAGGAATTGAAACGGTATGGACTAACATGGATGCAGGTGAAAAAAAGCAGAAGGAAGACAGCAGTGGCAAGTGGAGACGTGCAGTTGAAGCCCTATGTTCCACTAGGAACCCAAGGGAACAATAATAATATGGAATGGATTTTTCCATCATAATGAACTGATTTATTACCTGATCTCTATGATACTGACTAAATTTGCATAAGCATTCGGCATCCTAATGAACTAACATTATGCTTTAGACGACTAGTCATGTTATATGTGGGTCAGGTATCCTAGACAAACACGGAGGGTAGGTAACATAAATTAATGAAAATCGAAAGTCATCTGGTCTAGACCTTAAATAGTGATTGATATAAGCACAGCTTAATCAGTGGTTAGGTGGTAGTGGCAGGTAATTGCATCAATACTTACTAAATCAATGGTAACAAAGAACAACATCCTCACAACAGCACATAAACAAGAAAAAAAAATCATACACAAAACGCGACAACTTATTTTACTACGTCGATAATATACGACATAACAGGAACAATAATTACACACTTCAAGTGAATTATTGTTTGTAAAAGTTAATGAGCTGAAAGAACACCCTATATACAGACACAATAAATACATGTTAGTCTTAACATGCATATCATACATGCGCACTCCATACGCAAAATTCATAAATAAGACGAAGATGCTGATACTTAACCTTAAATAAAGCGTGATACCCAAGCAGAAATTCATCGTAGACGGCTTTCGATATCTCTCATTAAAAAATACTTCGCCACCAGCCTAAGAGTAAGATTTTCCAGCCCGTGAAAGACAAGCTGTAGCACTTCACCATTTCAACATGCATATACCAGTTCACTTGCTCATGTAGAGCAGAGTACATCGGCAATAATATGCGTCCACTTTTATAACACTCTCGGGAACACTATCCAGGATGGTTGGTTAGCAAAGGGAGAATGCAAGAGTGTATACAGTTCAGTAACCAAAACATCTGATGAACTCAAGACATGCAGATCCATTTGAAAAGTCCTACAAAGTCATACACGGAATCCGACCAAACCTATCAGAGTGAGTGAAATCAAGACATTTAGGAATAGCGGAGGCAATGGCGATCCAAAAGCTAAAGCCCACGCTATGTATTTAAAAGATATACGTCCAACCATTGTCCCTAACATGACCACCATGAAAAGCCAGCTCTATCAATAATGATTATCGTATTTATTACCTTTCTTAACCAACTTCCCTCTCTATTTTTTTTACGTTTTTGATTCCTATCTGCATTACCAGATTTGTTTGTGTTTTATCTGAACTTCTTAATTAGTTTGTTATTACTACATCCTTAATCCGTAAATGCTCAAACAGTCAGGTTTTTCAGTAGTTATCGCCTTATTATGTCTTTTCTACTCGATCTTCCTGTTTATTACACTTTGTGATTTTATTAATTTAGCCTTTGACCGCAGCAAGTGATTCGGGGACATTTTCACACATTTTTGTTATAAATACATGAGTGTACAGCCTAGTTAATGACTTCGTCAAAAAAAAACTTCTTCTCTGCGACCACCTTGTTAGTAATGAAAAAAAACAAATAAAATAATTTTTAAGTGATACAAAAACCACAAAAAGAAGAATTTATGTACAGTCCTTAATATTACCTTCAATGATACTTAGTAGCTCAATTTTCGAGCACTTGATGAAGTCTATTCGGGCAGCTCTACTAGAGTCATCTTTTAAGATTATCTACAAGGTGAGACCGAATGGTACTAAGAGTGTCAGGTTTCGGCATTTATTTATGGCGGAAGCGTACGCAATTCGTCAATACAACGCCGAACTACTCTGTATATAGAAAAAATCTGTCTAGTCTCTTATTCTGCCATAGTTTTAACCTCTGCACCAGTCGCTCCCTGTAAATTTGTAAAAATATTTTTAATGATTACTTTGCCTTCATTTGAATAATTAATTCACTGTTATCACCCCCACATGTGTTCCCTTTGTAGGTTTTCTCAACCTTCTCACACTTGCTAAAGGACAGAGTTATTATGCAGATTCTAACTGGTAAAGAACACAAAACGATTACACACCATTTTGAGCCTTTAAATAGAGTCTGACAGGTAACTAACATACACAATTATAGAGGAAAGTAAGGTCAAATATATCTTAGACCAATTATATTACTACAAGTTGATGAATTATCACTCTAACTGTCATCTAAGAAAGGTGTGGAAAAAATAACTGGAGATGATTTCATACTCTAAACGGTAAAACCCATTAATGACAGGTATATACCTTAATTATAATGTGTAGAGAGAAAGAGGTGACTAAGAATACACGATTTCCTGATAGGGATAAGAGCAGCTCCATGCTGGGCAATATGTTTGTATACACTACAGAATCTTCAGAGTAATTCACTAGAAAATATCTTTTAAAAAATCTTCGAGAAAAACAATACTCGACAGTAGTATGATAATAATAATAATGACAACACCAACAATGAGGAATCTAAATCATCAGTAGTATTTCCATAGAAGGAAGGAACCTCAGAAACCTTACGCAGAATTCTTAACAATGCAGGAATAAAAGTGGCTGATATTCAAAACACCCACAAACTCAATTAGAAACAAGCTTTGTCGATTAAAGGCTCAATCTTGTGGAGCCTTTAAAACAAAACAATTTAGTTTATCTAATACCCTGCCTACAACGTTTGTCAGGTCAAATACGTAGGTCAAACTAGTAGAACAGAGGCAGTCAGACTAGGCGAATATTAAAAACCTAGCAAAATCTAGATTGGTTGACCCGAATAAGATAAGAAATACCACTCACTAAATGCAGTCACACACAATCATACAATAGGATGGGACAGGATGACAGTTTTGAAATCTAACGTCACAGGGTGGAGGGAGAGATTGACAATAGAAGCTTGTTCATTGAGTCAACTGCAAACAGGTGTAAAAGGAATGATTCAACACCTGTCCAGCCAGATATCTGGAAATTTCTATTACCCCAATGACGACAAATAGGAGAGAACAAAGAAAACTATAAAACTCAAGTTTCAAAGTCATGTGATTACAATTGATATGATTATGAACAATAAATTTTGCTCGAAACGTCAGTGTCCAATAAATAATACTGTTTCACTGTGATACATTTAATAAACAGAGTAATATCGATAGTATGCCAGCTGACGCCATATTGTTCAATTTGCAGCGCAGCTCTATTATCCCATGTATTATTTTCTCGAGAAAATGCCTGGTAGAGAGTTATTTTAAAAAAGTACGTGGGTATAATAAACGACGATTTAAGGAGAATAGTAAATGATGAGAACCAAATGAAAGAGTTTAAAAGCGATGCATTGTGTTTTTGAGAAATTACGTAACCCAGCGATTAAATTAGGCACTCGTTTCGTTACTGATATTCCCTGGTCAGGATACGTGCATAACTAACAACTCCTAAAGATATGATTATCTAAAGCTTTAGTTCCAGTGTATACCTGGCAAATAAAGTAGCATTTAAGTTACCAAAGTGTATACCTGAAAACAAATCTTCGGGTTAACAATATAAAACTTTTTAGACATGAGTTAGTGTGTCCTAAAATTGAGTAATTGAGGTATAGGCTAAAACAACTTTAGAATACAGATGTCACAAAAAGTACAAAGTGCATCAGTAACAAATCAAAATTTACTCACTTTCAGAGTACAATGTGAGCCACAGTGAATGAATTAGTTAAACCTAGTGAAACAATTGAGCAGTACTAGAAGTGGACTGAATTCCATTAGGAGTGGTACAAACATTGTCTGAAGAAGCATTTGACGATGTTGTATTACTCTTGGTAGCACTTTCACTAACAGCTTTATCACCACCACCAACAGAAGTACCTGTATTATCATCACCAGGAGATTCACATTTAAATACAGATGTCGCAGCACTCGAGGTAGACTCTGTGGATGCAGCTGATGTAACAACATCGACTGCACCACTAAAGACTTCGGTAGTATTGCCATGAATGGAAGACTGAGATGTTGAACAAACATTTTCTTTTACTTCTGTAGATTTTACACTAGCTGACTGACTAGGAAGTGATGTCTGTTGACGAAGATTCGAAGAGTCTTGAGTATGAAGAGATTCTGCCACAGAATCGATCACATTTGAAGAAATCTCACACTGGGAATCAATAATATCTTCATTGAAAAATCGATCTAATCGAGCCGCATACTCAGAGAATAACTCAATATCATTATGACCTGCTCCTTCAATCCATGCAGGTTCCAGAGGATAAGTAAGCCGAGAATATAATTCTCTGCCATGATCAATGCCAATGATTTCATCATCAGTTCCATGAATAATTAGAGTTGGTGAAAGTATCCGAGAGACTTTATCGATGCTAATTAACAGAACAAAAATAATTTCAATGTTATTCCCAAAGTAAGATTCACATAAAACACGATATTGAGATTAACAAATTGCTCTATCTAATAGAGTCATTTAAAATTGCAAGAATTACAGCCAATTCTCATTGCTACACTTATCTGTTCTTTTCAATGAGTACTTTAAAATTAATAACTTATGTTTACATTGGCCACCATCATATGATGTTAGTTAAAGTAAGATGTTGAAGAACTGAAAGTGGTCAGAAAAAGATACAGGAAATCTCTAACTAATAATCAACGTTGTGTGACGAGAAGTAGTCTTATAGACACAATAAACGAGACAGTAGTGCTTCTAATTAACACCATAAATACATATTTATATACTTTAAACCATTTTCGCCTCAGTAACTTTATTACTGCATATCTTTTATTTAAGTCACCTCACCTAACTCACCCATCCGTCATCAGCTCAAAAAAGGGGTACGTCAGGCGTGCAGCTAGCGACTCTACCTCGAAGAAGCGATCCGATCGCTGTAGAAACTTTAAACCACATACAAAATATAGTCGTGACCAGTAGGGTGCAGCAGGTCAGGTGTGAGGACAAATACTCGCCGAAAACATTGGCTAGCGGTTGCGCTATATCGTAAATTCGCAGAGGTTAGAATTCATGGGTCATTGGATCGGGTCCCAGTGGCTTGGTGGTCTACGAGTTCGCCTTGTAACCAGAGGGTCCTGGGTTCGAATCCCGCTGGTGAATAGGTGGATGCGTACTGATGAAGAGTCCCAAACTAGGATGAAACACCTGCCCAGTACTCCCAGGTTTTCCAATGGTTCCCTAACCAGTGTCAGCTCATTATGAAATACTTTAACAAGTCAACCAAATCCCTACAAACTAATACTTGAACTTCTACTTCGTTGGAATACGAGAGATAGAATGATGCAACCTGGTGGAAGCCTTGCGGAAGTCATTCACCCGACGTGCATTTTTTTCTGGTGAAAGCGAAAATGGGCATCGCGATATGGAATATCTCCACGACGTTTGAAGCTGGCAAGGCTGTTCAGATTGCAGAAAAAATGAGATGTGGGACAGAAGTGCTGGTGTGGTGAGAGCTATCTGAAAGCCGAAACTGTAGACAGCAATTTACCTCAGTGTTCACGTCCTGAATTAGGGTCGTGAGAAAAACAATAACAAAGCTTAACCTTGAGAAAATCACCAGCCAATCACAATGGAGTTAAACAGTGGAAATATGACTCACAGATATACTGCTTGATTTTTTTTCAGAAACGACCAGAAAGGGGTAATAGAATAACCTTCAGCAAGAAAGCAACCAATCTGAAGACGTTGCTTCTCCATTAACAATAATGCTAATAATAATCCACATAAAAAGCTATAAATACGTCTTGATTTTCTAAATAAACGATCTGTTACCTGGCCCTTGTCTTCTATCGTTACACTAGGAATCTATGGTAGTACATAGAATGGATCTGGACCCTCCAAGCTGTTAATTGAGGAGTCATTCACCTATTCCGGTCACCCAGGAGAAAACCACGAGCACAATGAGGAAGTGGCTATCATGATGAGTATCGAAAGCACATAAGCAATAGGAATCAATCTCCTCAATAACATCAAGGAAAGATACTATTATCTTTTCATGATCGAGTGCTCAGTACATAACACAAGGATGAACGATAGTTTCTCGGCTAATATCAATTTCAAATATTCGAAGAGGTTAGTAATCATTTTTCCATAATTATGATAAGTGGTAGTATATCTGATCTTCTGATAACTTTCCGGCAATCAGTGAAATTTGCAGAGATATTACATAGTTATGACAGACTATAGAATTTCCCTAAACACAGACAAGGGATACTTTACCTCAATTTATAGAACGATAGTATGGCGTGTGCTACTGGCAAAATTTTGTGAGTTATATAATAAAATGTGTTACGTTTTCTGCAAGAATAGTGAATAGCGAAGGGATGGATCAAGGTTGGAAAGATGAGACATCCTTGTGAAACAATATAGAAAGCATGGAAAAAAGATAAAAGAGGTACAAAACGAAGAGCACGTGTAAACAGAGACTTCAATGCATTCTGCCATAACAGTACATTTTTTATTCCCTTACGTCCCGAGTGGAACATAGGACTTCAAGCTTCAGCTCTGAAGTTCCTGTGGCAGTGTTTTGATTTTTACACACCCAACCTTTCCTCTTTACCGGCTTAACGAGGTCTAGGAGTGCGTCAGAACCCCTGAGCGCAGGCGTGGTTGGCGAGCATTCTGTCACTGAACCACCGACACACATAACTGTACATAATTTCGCAAAATAAACTATTGTGCTACCAAATGCTAGCGTGTTCTAATGTTTCCATATTAATGCCTTTAAAAAACTTTTTCATACAGTATTCACTTGTTTAACGTGATACGTGAATAAATTACTTGGTTTTGTAATTAGATTTGTTAGTTCATTCAAAAACAGGGAACAACACCGTAAAAACAAGCAGATGCTCAATCATAGAAATAATTGATTTTTCGATTCCCTTGTGATCCACAAAGTTGTTTCGGAGCATGCTTTGCAGCATTGAATAATTGTTTTTCCTTTGCCTCTATTTTACAGTTATTTACATACATCATAAACACTAAAATACTAATAATCGCTTGTTTTCCTGTTTTTCAGGTCATCATATAGGTTTATAAGTTCAAAAACAAATGATGAGATTTACGGTATATTTGATTGACTCTGACTACGAAAGAAAGTCTTAAAACAAATGATTCTATGTGTGTCTGTATTCATTTAACTGCATTATGGATAAGATTTTATTTTGATAAATCACATACTGTTATACAGTAATATTAACTGATGACCCCACTTCGAGCACAAACTATTGCCACTCATAATCATATCAAGGCACTCACACAACTTTTTACTTCATTTATATACATGAGTGGAATCGACCAGATATTTGAATAAAAATCAACAGGTGATAATGTACATTTAGAAATAATAATACGAGTGTTATTGATGAATTACAATTATATGGGAAATAAGACGAGTGTTTTTTATAGTCATAATAAGTTACTTGTTAGAATTCTGTGATGTGTTTGAATTGAAATAGAATTTTATGATTACCTATTATCCTCCCCTGATTTGACTGACTGGCGGTAATAATATCTTCCATATTTCTGGTATTTGCATTGAGTCATTTTTGTTGCATGTGTTGGGTGTAGACTCGATAAATAAGGATTCCGTAATCAATTTCTCTCTCCACCTACCTAGATTACTTCTTAGAATTTTAACCCTCTTCCACCATGCTATTGTGTGGTTGTTTGTTAATGCGTGAAGTGCAACAGCTGAGCTTTTTTCTAAATTACTTATCTTTTTAGGGTCAACCATTCTTCCCTTAGCTAAATTCTTATGTTCTGATAATCTGACTAGCCCCCGACCTACTAGTTTGACCTATGTAATTGACGTCACTCACAGTCATTGCAGGGTATTTTGTAAATTATGTTATTTTGTCTAATTGGGTCAACAGAGCTTGTCCCTGAGTACAACAAATAAAAAAATACTCAGCATTCATAATTATTTGTATTGATTACAGGTAAACCGGATTATGAATGTTATATTATGAAACATTAAGATGGTGTTCTACCAAAATAAAATCTGTATAAGTATACTTACTGTCTTATAAAACTAAAAGGCATTGTTAAAAGATATGTGGTAAAAGAAATGTGAAGTTTTACCGGAAAATTCAAACAAATCAATCCAACTTTTCAAATAATCATTCTATGCACATAAATAAAAAGTCGATTTTTTACTCCTCAAAACAAGATACCTATTAAACTGCACTGAAATATCTTTTTTTTCTACGGTTGCAGATACATTGGGACAAATCAGCATGCATATTTCAGTTCTTTTTGATTGGACACTAGTCAGTAACTAGTGTAATATATATTAGGTCCTATCTTTGCTGCAGACTGAATTCGATCAGTCAAGTTTGCAATGTGGACACAATGCTAGATGGCTTGCTATCACGGTGCACTGTAAATTGTTGGTATTAGATGGTTGGAGGTAATCGACACGAAGCCTACTCGTTACATTACACTACTTACTGACTAGTGCGTAATCAAAATATTATCCAATATAATCCTACAGGACGTCAATCGCGGGACCGAATAATTCAGTGGTAACGTCTTAGGCTGCAGCACTGGGTGACGCGGGTTCGAATCTCAGAGGTGTGGGACATGAGTCCCTTCAAGGTTGCAGATACAGCTTGCTGAGTGCCACTTGTAATCTACATTCACACCTCCTAACTAACATTTCAAGTTGAAAATTTTGATTTCAATTTGTTTCCATGCTCACTTTGTTCACACCTATAACTCTTTCTATCCCTGCGTTTCTAAGCCTCTTGTTGTAATTCATATCATGTTGAAAACAATTATCACCTTCTATTTGACTTAAAATTATTTCTCCGGTTATCAAATACTAATTTTTGCATACGTTGTAACTATTTTCTAATCCTATGAAATCTTGTTTCTAAGCCCCTTGTAATATATATTCGTACCTTCAAACTTTCATATCAAGTTGAAAATTAGAATCACCTTCGTTACTATGTGGAATTAAACAAATAATAATTGTATCCATGTAAAATAATCAATATAAATGCGATTGTACAGCTTTTGAGAATGAAATCGCAGAAAAGATCGCCATCTTTGCTGAACTTCGTGTTCTCTTCTTTCTAATGAGTGATGAGTGCTAACTAGTATGAAACCTAGGTCCAAAGCCTCCTGCCGATTGCCTCCAGCCATCTAATACCAACATATTCTCCAGTTCACTTACTCTTATGGAGTTGAGTTGATTGGCTGTACCATGCGTCCGTTCATTAAAACGCGCACAGGAGTACTAACCAGTTTGGCTAACAAACAGAGAATGTAGGTGTCTTCAGCTCGGTAAAAGAGCATTTAGTGAACTCAAAACACTCAACTCCTTCTGTACAGTCCTTCAAGGTCCTATACCGA